TACCAGAAAAGTAATGTTTACAACCATATTGTGTACCAGAAAAGTAATGTTTACAACCATATTGTGTACCAGAAAAGTAATGTTTACAACCATATCGCTTGAAATGATGTATTAATCCTTTACCCTTAATTGCTTCAGGGACCTACTACGCTGCTGTGATTGAGAATCGTGCAGATTTTACTGGTCGTGTGGTGGTTGATGTTGGCGCTGGTAGTGGCATTTTGTCATTATTTGCCGCACAGGTATGTGTAACTGTTTATCTCTTGTTGATTACACTTTATCAACTAATGTTTGCTTTTGCTCTTAACATGTGCATGCATTTTACTCCCAGACTTATGTTCTATTGTTTTTCTTCCTCCAATTATAGGCTGGTGCAAAGCATGTATATGCTGTGGAAGCATCTGAAATGGCAGATTATGCCCGCAAACTTATTGCTGGGAACCCAGCCCTGGCTCAACGGATCACGGTAATTTTTTTTTTTTCTAATTTTTTTTGTTTATCTTGTTGGTATATTATCTAATTGTGTTAGGGTACCGTGTTGCTCAAATATAGGTGATCAAGGGCAAAGTTGAGGACGTTGAATTGCCTGAGAAAGCTGAGATTCTGATATCTGAACCAATGGGTAGGTTTATATGAGGCAGAGTCATGCTTTTATCAATTGATTGGGTGGTGAAAGTCTTCGTTATGCTAGCAGCTAGATTTTGTCATTCAGGAATTAAAAGAAAGTGCTTTATTGCTACTGTTTTACAGTTCTCATGGGATTAGCATTGATGTTTAAAGCTTAACTTCCGGTTTATAGTAATGCTGAACCAGGTCTAGTTTTGATGTCTCATTAATTTATTTTGCTGTTATTTAGGTACCTTATTAGTCAATGAAAGAATGTTGGAGTCTTATGTCATTGCTAGAGATCGATTTCTAGTTCCAAATGGAAAAATGTTTCCTACGGTTGGAAGGTATGCTTTCCTCCTTTTAGGATGCATTTTTTCCTCCAGAGTTGAATTATGACTCATGCTGTTTACATAATAACATCATCAATATGTTTGTAGGCATCTCATTTCTTGCTTTTGTGTGAACAATTTTTCTTTACATGTGTTTATTGCATTTTTATTCTTAGTTATACTGGTGTGGTCATGGGTGCATGTTGTGGATTCTCTTGCCCATTTTTTAATTACTTCGTTATTTTAATTTGATCTCCTCCCAACCCCTATCCCCCAAAAGCTCTAACACTAGAAGCTAAAAACCACTGATTGCAAATGACTATTCACATGTCATTAATTTCAGCAACTACATTTTTATTTTCCAACAATTAGGAGCCCTTAGCTTACACTTTTTAATTTTATATTGCTTTTGCAGGATTCATATGGCACCTTTCAGTGATGAATATTTATTTGTTGAAATTGCAAATAAGGTATGTATTGTTGGACTAAATGTATACATATATGCATTGTAGCACCTTAAAAGTAGTCCATCAGAAGAAACTCCATGACATTCCACTTCAAAATCTGGCAAAACAAAACTGCAGGCTCTGTTTTGGCAGCAACAGAACTATTATGGGGTTGATCTCACACCCCTATATGGGTCAGCATTTCAGGGATACTTCTCTCAGGTTTGTCTTATGAGGTAGTTTATATATATATATATATATATATATGCAGTGAGATTGGCTTACCATGCATTTTTCCTTAT